TAGGGCTCTACTACCCTTCCCTTTTTTGAGACCCAGAACGATCACTCACAACTTGTCCCCGGATCGTCCCCTCCAAGATAGAGTGATTCTTCCAAAAGAAAACCCTACTATATATAGGCACCATTAAGCCTTATGACTATTATAGGTACTGTTAGATACTATTAGGGTACTTATTAGGATCTATTAGTGCTTATGTTTCCAAATCCAACACTATGCCTAGAATCGCTCCAAACAAGAGGTTCTTAACACTCGCTAACGGCTAACAAATATTGTAGGAGACTTGGCATTTCCACACGAATGTCATTGACTGACCGTTTGACCTGTTGCGTATGGAATTGTTGGCCATCTTTAGGCTGATGATGGAACGTCCATTTTTTGGTGGGTTGTTGACATGCTGTGAATCGGCCTAAAAAGATATTGGATTGGCAGAGGTACAAGAATCGTAGCTCAAACACCATTTTCTGCACAGGCGTGTGTCCGTAGTCTAACCTCCCCATGAACAATAACTGAAAATAAGCCTTGATAGGGCTTGTTTTAGCACTATGTTAGACCCCCTACAATAGCAGATGTAACTGATGTAGCTGAACGAGATCGCCAACAATGACAAGTGAAGCATTACATCCTGGTATAGGCATAGATGTAAACGGTACTAGTATGCACACTCCACACTCAAATTGAGGCAACGCTGCTCATGTTTCTGCAGGTGTGTGTTCAATAAACATCCATTGGGAATAGGTCTTGAGCATTGACACTGTGATCTTATACTTCAAGTAGCTTCCTTACAAACGCTTTGTGTGTGGCAAGCAAATCACAGGTTTTTCGCTAGCCGGGCAGCAACGCTTGCTTTTGGAGAGGTCAAATCAGGGGGGAGGAGCGAAATGTGGCAGGCGACATTCACCGGCCGTACAGGCCGTGGGCCGAAGATCTGGATCCATGGGGTGCGAATGAGAGGCTTCCCACGGCCCTCCCTCCGCCCTGGCCACGGCCCGCCCTGGCGCCCTCGCCCGTTCCCCGTTCCACCAGGCGACCGACTTGGCGCGCCGCAGCCGCGCGGCGGGCGTCCGCGGGCTCTTGGGCGTGGACGCGCCCGAGGCCGGGGGCGCCGGCTCGCCCTCGCCGGACTCGTCGCCGCGGATGGCGAGTTTCAGCTCCTGAAGTGGAGGAGCTGTGGAAGTCACCCATGTCTTTTGGGGGGGGGAAAGCGGGTCTGGGCTGAAATGTTCGATTGGATACACCGTTTCCTGTAGCCTTCAAAAAAGCAAGGTGCCCTTAACATAGACCGCTTCCAGCATGCTCTTGCCCCGGGCCACTAACATAACTTCTTGTTTTTTTCGTTTTTTTTTTTTTTGGGGGGGGGGGTACGATGTTTTCCCCGAGAGTACACTCCATTTTGGGGGTTGAGTTCGGGAAACTAGATACATGAATTTGGACAACTATGCTATAGATGGCTATAGAAGTTGAGCCTTATATATTATAGCCTTTTTGTTTCCTGAAACCATGCAACTGACACACTGCCAAAGAGGCGCACTTACCAAACATGCTATGAATGACTTTTTTTTGAAAAAGAAAACTTAGGGTAGAGTACCCTGAAAATATGGTTCTCGTACTAATCTCTCAAATCTGTCTATAACGGCTACATACTCCCCAAAAGGGCTCTTCCCAGGACAATTCCTGCATACTTCGAATCTGAGTCGATAAGAGTATCAATTATCCAACATATTGCACTTTCCTTGAACAAATGCAAGAGTTATTTACCTCCTTTTGCCTTTAGTGTTTGCCTGCATTCATGGCATGGCATGGCCTGAGAAAATTATGAGAATGTCCAATGCATCGGCACATGTCATTTGGATTCCGCACACCCTCCCCGCAGTGTCTGGACCCGTATGCCAGTCACGCATCCTATCACAAACCTGGACCTTAAGCGGTTCCGAATTGCATCAACCCAAAATGAATCCGCAAAATACCAAGATACAAGGCACCCTTGATGGGCTGCGAATGATGTGCTCTCAGGTCTCTCTTCTTGAATTTGCCGGAACCAGGAAAAACAAATCAAAAAAATCCGTTCCAGTTGGGGGGGATTCAACCGGTTCGGGACAATCAAACAAACAAATCACCCGCCATAAGCGCAATTCACAGGGATCTTCCATCTCGCAGATTTCGGATGGTTTGAGCTGCGCGTCGTCACATGCCAAGGCTCAGAGAGACTGATGGTGCCCTCACCAGTGGAGTCTAAGGCTAAGAAAATGTCCTCACGCGGCACACGTCACGAGTGGCTCGGCACGAGGGGCGGGCGGGGAACTAGGCGTTCGTTAACGGATGAAGCGATCGGTCGACCATGGAGCCTGGTTGTTTCAGTGGATGATGGGGCATGGGGTGGGTGGCCTCTAGAATAGTAATGCTCTACTTGTATTTGTTTACCCTTCGTTTCTAACCAACTGGTGCAGGTGTACTATAGGACAAAGCCATGAAGCAACACAAGAACGTCAAATGGGCGAGCTGTGTACAGCTCTTCGACTCCCATGTGCTTTGCGCGGGATGGGCGTCTTGTGGTGTACACCTGCTAGCGCGTCGACCTCCAAACCTCTTCTCAGGCACTTGACACGTGTTCTAGATTTGATGTGTGCTATTTCAAGGGACTGGGACGACTTAATGGTATACCCCCGTTTGCGTTTTTGGTTGGGGGGGACCTGACCCAGAGAACTGTGGAAAAGTCGATGAAACACCAAGACCTCTGAGATGCTCCCATTGACAAGCCATCTGAAGCCTAGGATAGCAAGCTATCCTGGCTGTTGATGCACTCCAAAAACTAGTCTAGTGAAACTCTCATGACGTGACGATATACCAGGTGTGTCAGGGACCAGGGGGCCCAGGGGTGCTCAAGCTGAAGGACACTCAAAGACTCAATGAGAAATGACATCGGCCCTCTTCAAAAAGTGATCACACCCTTGAATCTTGGTATTTTGAGGTCACTGTCTGTGGCATCGCCACTGGCATTAGACCTATAACGTAGACCTCTGAGCCTAAATGTACATCGCTTAAAGGGTGACCACTACCAAAGTTCAGGCTCTCGCATCTCTCCAGCAGAACCCGAACTATCCAAAACGACCAACAATGCTTCTGAGAGGCCCGGAGCTCTTTGGTCTCTTCGGGAGCCAACTCCTTGGCAACGAGCCCGAAGGATGGAAGGATGGTGTCATGGCAGCTGAGAATCACCACTTGGAGCTGAGAATCACCACGGAACACCAGCTTTCATGACATGTTTTCTTTCACGACCATGATGAGATCAGTATGCGGTTGAAAGAACAACCGCGTGCTGGGTGCTGGATGGTGTCAACTCACGCGGTCACCATCTGCGAAGTTGCCTAAGGATACCCAGTCTGTGAGAGTTCTTGTGTACCGTTGCGTGAAGATCTGCAAAGTTGCCAATCCCATCCCCATAAAACTGGAAGATATGCCGATCAATTGACCCCCCTGGCACCACCTTACCCCAACTGATCGGCAGTCCGACATGGCAGTCCGGAGCGCAATTGGGCTAAAGCTCAGTCTTGGACAGTGCATCACGTATACTGCGGAATAAGAGGTGCATGTGACGGCCAATGGGCCACCAGGTCATATACACACCAAAGCACATCACATATAATGTGATGAATTGAGCCATGACGGTGAATATAGGATTCAACCGATGTCAAACCACCTTGAGCTCATCATTCAACCGGATTTTGTTTCACGTTAAATGTGCTTCCCGACCTTGAGATCTTCCTCATAGAAACTAACACTGCGAGAACCCTGCTGTATAGATCCAACCTTGAACAGAAAAACATCGGAAAAAACACAATCCCAGAAGCTCCATGTATGGAACATTTACATACATCGGGATGATTTCAGGGGTCAATGTAGCCATATATTGTATATACATGGAGCATCTGGGAATGGATTCGGATCGCATCGCTTTTTGATGCACATGTTTTTGTGGGTCAAAACCTTCCCAACCCAAACTCATGATTAGGTTGAGATCCCTCAAATCTGAAGAAATCTCTTCATTTGACCCAGGGTCCACTCCACCCTGACCCCCCAAACACCAGACCACACCCACCAGCTTCGCCCGCTTCGGCCGAAGCATCCTGCGCCAACATCTGCAGCACTGCTCTCCGCACCCGCGAGGCATCGGCATAGTGCCGCAGTGCCCTCAACGCCTCCTGCGGAGAGCGGCGGCTCGTCGAGAAGGGCGGTCGGTCGCGAGAGGAAGCAGCGGAGAGTTTGGGAGGAGGGCTTAATTGTTGGGATGTTCTTAGTGGGAACCCCTTTTGAAAGCTAAACCCGCTAAGCCTGGGCCCAAAACTCCATGCTCAAGACCCTCCAACAGGTCACCAAACCTGTTAGAGCCCTTCCCAACCCTCCAAAGAAGACCTGTTGGAGGGTGCTGGTATAGATCTGGGAACATCCGCCGGTACCACGTCCTCCCTCCGCCGCGTCGCGTCGCTCAGAACCCGTCCGCCCCTCCTTGTCGAGCACCGGTCGGCCGTCCGAGTGTCGGGACTTGATCCAGCGGTGGGATAAGGCTTCGCCTGGTGGACGGAGGCATCGTCCGGATTTGTGTGTCTAAAAACGAGCAGAAAAGCGAGCAGAACTCGGATGGTGAAGCAAAATAAGCAAATATGAGGCAAACCATGGTCGAAAAGAGTGGATTGAATCCTGTTCTTGAGTCTGTTCTTAGATAGCCTTTGTGTTCGGGAGTTCTCCCTTTCGCACCCAGCCTGGATCAAATGGACACGGCATCTCAACACGGCGTCATGCCGGGCTGGGCTGGTCGCGATCGGACGGTCCTAAAGCGATAGACAAAGGAGCAAAAACAACTAAAGAGCAAAAAGTAGTGTCATCGTTCTTTAAGAAGCCCGCCCTTACTCATGATGTGGTGATATTATGTTGTAACATGTGGTTCCTAGATTTTTCGGGAAACTCGGAAATTTGTCCTTAAAACGATCAAATCAAAGTGCCCATCATCACAGCGGGTCCCATGCCCAACCGCACAGAAGGCGCGCGAGTGCATGCGCCACACATGCGCCTACATCCATGCGTTGCAGCGGGTCCCTCACCAAAAGACACCTCAGTGGCACTTCCGAGAAGTGAAACATTAACAAGTTTGTTTTTATCATTGTATGTCAGTCGGATCACTGCACATTCTGGACATTGAAACCTGGTAGCACAGCCAAGTGGATACCACATAATACCAGATTTGAACAACTCCCACAAATGCCGCAAAGGATGCAACGCCTGCCACCGTCTCAATCACAGCCCCCTCCAGCTACCTAGTGTTCCTTCATGTTCCTTCTGATTTGATCAGTTCTGCGAAGCAACATGCAGCTTCACAGGAGTAGCAATACGATGGATTCTTGGCAATTTGTGCGGTCGCAGCCTCGAGCACCAACCCTACTCTTCCTGTTGGAACGAAGGATGTTATTAACCTTCTCCTAGCCATTCGCGAGCGCAACCTGGAGAGTTGGGGAACAGTGCCACTCCACCAGGAATGAGAGGAATGAAACTGAAATGAAGAATTTCAGATCTAAGATGTACAACCGATCTATTAATTGAACAATGATTGAATGGACCAGAATGGACCATGGTCTCTTTTGATGATTGCTTGCCACGGCTTGCAGCCAGAACTCGTAGTTTCACTTCCATTGGTGGGCGAAGCCACCCTTATATATAACCACTGCTAAGTGAAATGGCTACTAGTAGCTTCTTGTTACTAATCGTAATGGCCTCCAACCTCATAGCGATGGCCTCCAAGCTACTAGCGATGGCCTCCAAGCTACTAGCAATGGCCTCCAAGCTACTAGCGCTGGCCTCCACTCTAGTGGCGATGGCCTCCACGTTTAACCAGCCCGGGGCACTTGACGAAGTCCACTGCATCTTCTGAGACCTGGGAGTGCGACGTCTGTGCGACGTCGAAGACGCCTCGTCGGCCTCGATCGAGGTGGTGGACATGGAGGCTGGCGGGTCAACGATCGAGTCCTCCAGCTCTTCCGAATTGAAGCAAGTCAGGTTTTCCTCTGACATCAAGAAGAGTCAACGCCCACATGCCGGGGGACTTCGTGGAAACGGAGCTAGCAAAACTTCGCAGACTTGGTGTCTTCATGGCGCTCCGCCACCGTTCTGGGAAGATTCCTGACCACTCCTTCACCCGAATTCATCCAATTACCAGTGGTTTCAGAGGTTCGATGGCCGCAATGCCCCAAGTTAGGTGGTGTATAAAGGGACCCCCATCTAAAGGACATCTTCGGGTGCCAGTGCCATCTACCCTGACTGTATGTCCAATTCAGCTTCATAAAGCCCTTGACCTTGCATCAGTTCCATCGGGCCATCATCGTCTTCTTATCTTTCAACGCCTTCATCTTCACTTCTTCATCCACCCATATCCACCCCTTGACCCGCGCAGACGCTGCGCCCCGCATCTGCGGCCTTCCGCCACCGGCTTTTATGGCTCCAGTCCACGTTGGCGCAAAGAATGTTGGCACCTGGGGTCCCATTAACACATGGCAGTGGGTCCTTCAACCACGACACCGGAAGAAGATTGTTCACATCGAATATGAGCAGCATAGAATACCAAACATGGTCAACCTACCAAGAATTGGAGCTCCTGGCTTTGACCCACAACCACCTCCGCTCCGACCGTGGAATGCTGTGGAAGACCGTGCATTCAGTACAGCGACGTCGCCGAAAGCGGACCCAACATCGGGCGCCAAGCAACGCATGTCCTTCTCAGACCCATGGAATGGTGGATAACCAACCTTGGTGGAACTGGAGGCATCTGAAGATGAGACGGGAACTCAAGATGCGTCGACGAATGTCCCTGATTCTCGTCGTTGGCTTCGCAGTCCCCGCGTCAATGTCGCGCGGAACCTTCGACACGTGAAACGAGGTCTTCCTTTGAAGTATCGAGGTGTGCGCCCACTTGGCAGAACGTGTTGATATGAAAGGTGAGTATATAAATTTCACAAAGCAAGTGGTGACCATTTAAAAGATCCAATATGTTCGGGAAGAAACTAGCCTCTAAGCTGAGAATAGGCAGAATCCTGACTATATCTGACCATGATCTAATCGCTAAAACACAAGTAGACGTCGACTATATTGCTACGACTATTGATTGGTTATAGTCACTTATTCCTGCAAGGTTGCCAACAATGCTCTCCTTCCGGCCAACTTCGGGCCAATGTGCCGGACGTCTACAGCTGGGTGGATCAGTGCGATAGGTTCAGTCGATTGGGTGGTCGAATTAGCCAGTGCACCAATTTTTGAAAGAAACGAGCATATGTCAGCTGCGATCTACACCTCTTACATGCGGATCCAGGACATCAGCCTCCTTTAATACCGCAAAAGATCAGGTTTTGATAGGTGCTCACGTGACAATGCAATGTGATGAACCCTCGATTAACATGGTGGCTCAAAGGAGAAGACTTCCAAAAGGTCACTAGGACATGAGCAGTTTCAGGTGCCAAGGGCCTTCAAAAACCACAAGCGTTCCAGCTAGGTGGGGGGTGAAAACCACAGAGTGCATCGGTGTTGGATGAAGCTCAGCTTATGTGCCGAAAAGCCGTCAGCAAAAGTAAGCTGCAACACACATACAGTTTGTCCAAGGTCTTTCCTCAGATATTAGATTATGGATAACCGTTTTGATGACCTGGACTTTATAGTCTAATTGACATTAAAATACCTACATACGTAGTACATAGTCGATGTAATTGTTTGAGCAACTAATTAAGTTGAAATCAAGACTATATCTGTCAACTGTTCAGAGGCTACTCAGCATGAAACTGACTGATCTTGGCGGAGAATCGCCGTTGGTGTCCGAGATCGAACTTCATCCGACGTCACGGCTGAGATCCAAGAGGCCAAAAGCATGAAGACGATCACTCCAAGACTCCTTGGACGTGGAGACGCTACGCTTCATGGCCCACCGGCTGGTCATCCACCCACTAGGTCGTTCCTATTCTTTTAGGAGCAAGGACGCTACGTTTGGGGCTCCTGGCCGAACAAGGACGCTCCGTTTGGGGCTCCTGGCATCGCTACTAATGGTCGTTCCGGGAAGTCGCCAGGGGTTCGCACATCGATGTGCACGACGCGTCAACGTGGGTGAAGTAGGGGCGACCCACACATCATGCTGCTTGAAAGAGCCAAGGCAATCTGCAACATACTTGTGAGCACCAGCCAGCACCATAGTTCGTTCGTATGACCAGCCCTTTAGAGCTCCAAAGTCTTGAGAACATCGCCCAAATTAGTAAGCACAAACTGAACATCTCCTTGGGCTTCATGGAGAAAACATCTTAATTATGTACTGAGATAGCACGCATGTCACAAAACTTACGGACGTGCCTTTCTGCCCAAACAATTGAAGAAGACCTTACATCGATTCCCTATGGCCATACATAATGCCTGTTCTGTTTACTCCGCTCTTTAGCTTTCCGATCGGAAGAGTTCTTCCTGTTCACCGTTCGGGCTGAAGAACCCCCAGCTGAAAAAACACAGGTTGAACCCAGCCATGACCAGCCCATAGGTACCCTATGGTACCCTAGGTGATAGGTCGCATTGATGGTCATCACTTAACCTCTCAAATGCTTTCCGGCGCCTGCGTCCCAGCTCACGCCCAGCTTCCATAGGTCACACTTGTTGGTGTAACCTTCACCCTTGAGCACGTCGGGACTCACATAGGCGATGCTCCCGCACGAGGCCATCCTGGTCACCGATTCACTGCGATGGGACAGGGTGAGAGGTAGCTGGTAACCCATATATGTCCCCACCCACCTGCCCACACCATGGGTCATCCGAGGATCATTAAGGTGGAAGGGTCCCAGATCTTCGCAAAGCCAAAGTCGATCAACTTCAACAAGGAGTTGGGATCCGAGCTCTCGTAGAGGAAATTCTCCTCAGAGCGGTGGCACGTGTTGGTCCGCTTTTTTTCGGACCACGGGCGCGGCGGTAGGACACAGCGCGGACCAACGCGATGCGCGTGATCGGGCAGGTCAGTGATCCACGGGGATCATGTGAAGAACTGAGCCCGCTCGAGGCAGAAGAAACGTGTGGATCAACGCGTGTAGCTTCAATGGCTTGGACTGACTGACTGACTTCAGCATGAACACATCAGAACCAAGTCTCAGCCTCGCAACGAGATGGATGCTTCATCCTTCCATGGGAGGGACTGACTCCCAGCGGCACCCTTGCAAGACACAGCCATGCTATCTAGAATCTAGCCTCGCCATCTGATTGATTTCGCGAAGACCGATCGCACGAAGAGCAATCGATGCAATTGCAATCTATAGTTTTCATGTAAGGCACATGGGGAGCATGAACGTCCATTCCGCGGCAATACTTATGTGGCTGTGGGTCAAGAACCAGCAAATCTTGGTTGACCTGCCCGGAAGGTCGTTCTCTACATGGTGGACTGGTCGGGCTGCAGGTGGGTCAGGACCCATCCCCCATTTGTCCTCCACATATTCTGACTGAGTCTTCCGAGCTACCCTCTGACCCTCTGACTGCGGGCGGGTGGCCAGCTTCAGATCCCGATGGACGACCTCGGTTTGTGAAAGTGAGTTCAGAACAAATGCGAACTATCATGGGTTTCTTTGAAGATGAAACTATTGTTCCTCTGTGCTTCATTGACCCTCTTTGAAGATGTTTTTTTGACATTTTTGACCAGTGCTTTTCACCTCTTTTCACCTTTCTCCCCTCTGAAAATAGGATTCAGCTTGATTCACTTGAGAGTCTGTGCTCCGCACATGGTGGGCGTGTAGGTAGCCCACCGCCAGCAGCATCTGGTGCGTGGCATTCGCGGCGTCCGCCTCGGCGTAGGTGCCGCTGCTGCTAAGGCGAGAGTAGAGCTCACCACCTCAGCACGGGCGCCGAGCCGACGGAGGTGGCGCCCCAGGGCGGTCGTGGTCCGAAAATGAACAGATGCCCCCCACACATGGTCAACCAGGCTGGTGAGTTGAGGGGCGGTGATCCGCCAGGTGTTCGTGGAGCAGTTGTGGGGTGCCGGCGTTAGGTGTTCTAGGGCACCCCTTCCAATGAACCAAAATCACGCATGGAATCTGTGCTAAAATTATCTAGACTTCTAGGTACTGTAGCCATAATATACTGATTCGCAACTGAATGAACATGAATGATCCTAAACGCCTAACTTTGATGCGTTTTTCTTTCCCAACCTGGATTTGGACATCAATATGAAGCAACAAGTGAGCGATGCGTGTCATTTCGCCAGACGGCCCGAGTCCATTGTTCCGGCGTTTACCAACTGAGTCAGGAATACCTTGGCTTGGATGTGCTGTCCAGGAAGCCGGGAAAACATATTAAAGAATCACCGTCACCGGGTTTGAGGATTGACCCAAACCCGGGAAACACCTCAAAAACCACCCGAAAAAGCAAGCAACACCAAACCTTGTGCACGGTAACTACGAGGTCGGTGCACCCCATGCTCCTTGCGGTTTCAAGTGGCCCTCACAGCACTCGGTGAGGAGAGCCTTGGTCAGGCAAAGCACCGAGTGCCGCTTGAGCTCTGAGTCCAAAGGCAGAGCTTACGTGGTCGAGAAGGAGACATGGACTAGTTACAGCCTACAGCTGTCGCTTGGGACAATCTTTGATACATCTTCGTACTTCTCTAGGGGAAACAGCAGCCCAGCCATCTTTGTTTCGAAGAGGAATTCTTCCCGTTTTTCAATGGCCTCAAACAGATTCGAAGCTATGAAGGCGAAGATTATGAGGAACGACGTTTAAACCTTTTCACAGCCTTTGAAGTGCGATCTCGGGTGGAAAGTGGCTCAAGCATGGACTACGTCAAACCATTGGAAGTGGATCATCAAGAGAAGCTCTTACAGTACCATCTTCAATCGTCTTCACGTCAATTCCTCTTTGAAGGGTTTCACTTAACCAATGTCAAAGAAAAGGAACATGTTTCAGTTTCGTCATGTGTTCATGTTCCCAATCGCCTCTGGCCAACTATACATGCTTAACCAAAGCAAAAGCTCCCAACACTAACCGTTGATAAAATATACACAACAATAAATATATTATATATATATATGTGTGTGTGTGTGTGCGTTTATATGGAGAAAGCACATCGAAAGGGCCCAAAACAACAGCAAACCTGGAAATGCTCATGTTCAACGCCCATCGAAAGGGCCCAAGCGTTTCTTCCAGAGTCGGGCTCTCTCGGTCACAACGATCAAGCTGCGATCTCGCTGTCCGTCTCGTAGACGTCGCGGAGCGCCGCAATGTGCGGGTGGTCCAGCATCAAGTAGATCTCTACTTCTGCTGTGAGTTGTTTCCTTGCATGGCGAGACACTCACGAAGGGTAGCACTTCTAGTTGCCCCTTGATTGGAGATGATTGGAGGTGATAATGTGTTTCTGGCTGCATTGGCTGCTGGTTTGCAGCCAACAGGGCTGGAAGTGCAAGGCAAATGCAATATATTCAATAGGCTCACACCGGTTGGCTCAAAACACACCAAAGCCGGTTGAGAATACACCGGTCAGTTCAAAATACACTTGGACAAGTGGGCAGTGTTTTTAGGAAAACCACGGGGCCTATGAAGCGTACCTTCATACCTGCCTTCGCAAGACATACATAAAATATGTGTTTTGAAGAGCCTGCCGGCGTCAGGAGAAGGTGACAAACCGCTGGCGCAACTTTGCCTCTACACTCTACACGGTAGGGCGCATGCTTCAACAACAGGGACTTCCCCTCTTCATGGCGGCTTACTGTGCTTACTCCCGAAAAGCACCCAAGAAACCGGTGGGATTAGACGCAGACGCAGGCTTGTCTGCGTCACGGAGTGGCTATGGCAATGGTTACAGGTCACACCACTCGTGGAGACCAACCCGTCCACTCGGGAGCACAACCCCCAAGCACCTCCCAACTTCTGATGGAAGCGAACGTCCCATAGACCGAAAGAAAAAGCACGCCACTCAGCATTGCCAAGGTTCAAGACTTTCGGTTGGACCTTGAGCTTGTGGATCCTCTTCAAGGCATACATCCTTGATCAATCAGATCCGCAAAATGCCGATCTATAGCGGATCCAAACAGCTGGGGTTGCCCTGTTCATATACGATACCGTGGTCAAGAGCACACACAGGCCCATCCTGACAAAGCAATGGGCCAAAGTTCTTTGAGATGCCTTCATGATCCTTCATGCCACTCACATTGGAACTCATCAGAAGCCTCATCAATCCTTCGGCTTGAATGGTCTCCCTGGAAGAACCATTGCGCTACTGAAGGAAGAACCCTGCATCACGTGTCAAGCCCCAAAACAAAAATAACTGTGGGACTTCGTGTGCAATTCAGGTCAAGATTTAAACCATATCCACTGCAGTGGGAGGGTTTTTTGATAACAACCTCAGCCATCCAAAAAGGGCGGAGGGGTTAACGAGGCCACGAGGCAAACACAAGCGTGTTGTGATGGGAACCGGGGATGGTTGGGGTTGGCTCAAGTTTTCAGTGCAAAAGGACGCTCTTGCGAAGAAGACTTGTGTTTGCCAAGCTTGTTCATCTCCCACAACTTGCCTGCAATCTTTGGCGATTGCCAACCAAGCGCGTATTCTTCTCCCACAGGGTCTATGGACTCATTGGCTTACCATCTACCTACCCGTCCCATCTCAACACCCTGACCTTTCGCCGTGGCGCCGTCCATCGGTCCGACCTTTCGCCATGACCACCAGGCCGCTGCATCCCTCGCCTCGGTGGGGTGGTGCTCCCGGTCACGTGTGTCTCACGAGGTGTCGGAACGGAACATGAAAAGAAATAGGAACGACCTGGTTTTGTAGTGTCAAATCCCGACCTCAGCCGTAAATCCTTACTATAGTGCCTTAGTTGGTTCGGGATTCAGCCTATCAATGATGGGAAGCCTAGGGAGGTGGAGGTTGGCCGTTGCACACGGCAGCAACTGCTGCACGAACTCGCGGAAGGTGCGCAGATGGGCGCGATGGGAGTCAGAGTGACGGAGTGAGATTGACATAAAACACGGTCGGTGCTCGAGAGGAGTCATAGGTCTTCCAAATGAAAGGGTATTTGCTAGATAAAACGTTCCTACCAAGCTTCGTTGAAGAGAAGTTGGAATAGGGAGGGTATGGTTTGACACTTGGCCGTTGGTTCTTTGGACACAACGGGTTCAAAGCCCCTCAGTGTGAGATGTGCGTCTTTGTCTTGGGGACAAACTACGCACAAGTCACAAGCAGTTTGCAGCTCGCCCATTAAGCACATACAAAAGGTACAACCCCGGCACACTCAGTTACAATTCTACAATGTTTGCAATGTTGAACACTTAGTGACAATTTTGGACCTTGCTTCAAGCCTTTACAATGTTTTATAATTTCGCTTTGCACTTAACTTCACCCCGCTTTACCCTGCTTTGCTATGTTTACCTTGCTTTACGCTTGGCACTCAGATACAAGTTCTTTCCTCCGGACCTAGTTCGGAGGGTCTCACCACCCACCCAGTCACCGCTTGTAAAACATGGAAACTGGACCTTCAATTCCAACAAAGGTTGAAGAACACTGTAGACACAGATTAGACCATGGGTCCTATATGGTCGCTTAACATCTGTTGGTACATGCGGAATCACCCACGCGTGGCGTTCTTCGTGGCGGCCACGGACCGTCGACCCGATTTCTCGGAGCCACGGACCGTCGACGCCGCGACCTGGACGGCGTGTCACCACCACTGGCCGCGGTGTCACATCCAAGGAACCCAAGACCTTCTTCGGAAAGACCTCATAGTCCTGCGACGACTTGGGGGCTTGAGACCGACCCTGCGGAGCGAAAGCCAACACACCTGGTGGAGGCGTTTCTCCTCGCCCGCAGCGACTGGAGACAACGAACCCCCGGGCGGGCTCCGGCCGTGGCGTCCGAACTGGAGGTCAGTGGCAGGAGGATCCAAACAGGTATTTTTGAGACCGAGATCGTGAACATACCAGGGGTCACAAAGGGGTGGTTTTTAGTTTCTAAGTGAGTGGGCACATATGGGCGGCACCCCTATCCTCCAATAGGCACCCCTTTGTGACTGCTGGTAGGAGCTCAGTCATGGGCAAATTCCCTGGAATCTCCACTCTTGTGCTCCACCATGCCCTTTCAAAAGCCCCTTCCAAAATATCCTACAGCAAGCATTTTAGATGGCCCATATCTCATGGACGAAGCGGCACCACTACCACGCCATGCCGTGGCATACCCCTCCTGACCGCTTCCTTTAAGACCGTCCCTCTTGTTCGTGCCGTGCGACCACGGAACCACCGGTCCCTCTTGTGGCACGAGCCGCGGAACCCCGCGTCGTTCGACGGTCCTGATCCAGTTGCCGTCCCCTGGCGTTGTGGTAGCGCGCATGGGTGCAAGCGGCATTGTAGGACATCGCCTTGGCTCGTTCCAAGCTTATGGACCTCGGAGGACGGTGACAGACCCGGATGGCACGGATCTCGTCTCGTCCCTTTGGTGCGGGGTTTCGCGATGGGTTCGCGGATCGGAGATCGACCCAGAGAGAGGTGGAGAGAGCTATCTGAAAGCTGAAAAAGAGATGTCTGAGGTTGTATTTTCGGTCTGGGTGAGCTTTTGTCTATTCTTAGGGTGTGAGGTTTTGTGATGGCTTTGGTGGTGTAGGGTGGATCATGGCTTGTGAGGATGCAAAACAAAGGCATCGGCCTGTTCAATCCAGTGTCACTTGGAACTTAAGGTTCAAAAACATGCTAATTCAAACATGCTAAGACCATTAATAGATAATATCATCTATATACATTAATGGAATACCGCGAATACCGTATGCACACAATTACGGAAGATTTCATGTTACTGTTTGTATCCAATTGTTGCAGGGGTACCTGACATATGCGATGGCATTAAAGGCCAGGAATAGATGAGCTCGGCGGTCCACATAGCGGAACAGCAAACGTGTTTTTGTATTTTTTTCAGTTCAGCTTGTTGGTCTTTGCAGATTCGTTGTGCTCTGCCCCTTGCAGCGGTCTACCAACGTAGGCAAAACCCCACAAACCATCAAACACATGTTCCCTAGCAAAAAAGACAACACATGGTTTTTGTATGTGAAATAGTTAATTTTCCCATGGTCATTTGCTGAAGACGCCTTAGTATCTCACGGTGCCATCTGCTGGGAAAGGACATGAACCAACGTAGTCTGACCGTAGTCTTGCATTTGCTGCTTCCAGGAAGCCGGGGAGGAAAAACACACCTATTCCCCAAGTTGAGGGGATTCTACCCAGTTCGGGACCATGAAAAAAACACACACGGAAAAACCCGCTGCAGCGGGTGTTCCGTTTTACTTGCCTTTTGAGTCTACCAGAGTTGCTGGGTTGGGGAGCTCCGTTGGAGCTATTTAGGAGGGTTCCCTCACTCATGTGGCCCAGCTTCATACACGTCATCCCTGTGGAGAGGCGCCCCCCCCCCAACACACACACTCCCTCTCTCTACTCCACCCAAAAGCCCTACTGAGCCCTACCAAATGGTTTGGAATCTCGCAACTTCTTCTGTGAAGAAGGCATGTGATCCAACGTGAACGCCGCAAAAAACAAACCCAGCACGGAAAACTCAGATACCACATCTGCCAGCACTACCAACTGAACTTATGCAGTAACAAGGACGCTACTAGGTGGAGGCCATCGCTAGGTTGGAGGCCATCGCTCATGTCCTTGCCGAGCAACAGCTGGTCTGACGAGATCGAGTTCCTTGGAGCGATGCCGAATTTTCGTTGCTCCGGTGACCCATGGTCAGTTTGGAATGGTTTGGAGCAGAAAACCGTCCCCACATTCAGAAGAAGGATTTCGTGGATCCATCTGTGCCACGTACCCTCCCTGAAACAATCATGGAAGTGTAATACAGCCTGGTTGTAGAGGAAAACAGTCTTCCAAAGGGCCATGCTCCGCTTCCATGTTTGTTGGATGTACTACATACCCCTCCTTCATAGACTCATCGTCACTCTTGGTCGGTGGCCCGTTTAGACGACTGTACCCAGGACCCAAGGGTCCAACCCTCCGTCTTACCAAGCAGCTCTAAGACTCTAATACACTCCAACGAACACATCACATGGAAGTGGAAAACACCCTGCTTCTGTAGTCCTCCAAGGGTCCATTTTCACCGGCTTCATCCCTTGCCCCCTTGGGCCATTGCCCCCTTGTGCCC